TGGGCGTCTGCTGGGTGTTCCAGGTGCTCGTCGTCTCCTCCCACTGCCACTACTCTGCAGGCCCCTACTGGCGCTCCAGTTTCACTAGGCAGGCGAGCGATTTAAGATCTTACCCGGACTGCGCGAGTTCTTCGGGGCGCGGTCTTCTTGGAGCTCTTTGCTGGGAAGGAAGGCCTCGCGAGGGCCGTCGCGTCTCTAGGCGCTCCATGTGGCGAAGGTATCGAGCTCTCCAAAAGTCCTCGGCATGGTCAACTTTATCCAGGGGTTCGTCAGCATCTCATTGGGCTCGCTCAGCATCGCCCGACGCGGGGTCCATGACCACGAGGCGGCCAGGGAGAAGGACCCCTTGGGGGCCCACGGCGCCTGGGGCTCCTCGGTTCGGAATCGACTGTGGCTTTCGTTTTAGAGAGTCCTCTCACTTCACGCCTCTGGGGCTCTGGTCCGAGTCAAACGTTTCTGGCCGACAAGCGCGTTTCAGTCGTTAAAGTTCATCCCCGCAGTTTCGGAGGTGTGATCAAGAAGCCGACCCGTCTGATTGGCATTCTGCGTGGTCTTGATAAATTGGCCGAGAGATGCCCGGGGGATCGCGCCCGCGCACTGGCGACAGGCACGTTGCGCGCATGGGATGCTGATCGGCGAGACTTTCGTTGGAAGCAAGCCTCGCAGTGTCCAGGGATCCACGGCTGAAAGTTTTGTTTTCAGCGTAGTTCGACTCATCCTTGCAGAGGCTCGTCGCCGCCGCATATTTCCTGCCCCCGCCAGCGCCCACTGCCGGCACCTCGTTGGCCAGACCAGTCTCGCTGAAGCTGCCGATCCATGACTTCTGCGCCGTCGGCGAGGGGGCTGTGACGAGTGGGCGTCAGCCCCGCCCGTTGGCCGCGACCTCGACGTCGCCCCAGGGTGGCTCATCGCGTACGTTGGGCAACCCTGGCGCGAGCGCGGCCGAGAGCTCGCGGCCGCGCGGCGGCAGAAGGCAGGGGCTGGCGCGGCCGCCAGCAGCGCGACACTCACCAGCTCCACGGCCGCGAAATTTGGGGGAGCGCAGCGCGCTGCCCGCCACCCTGGCCACCCACGAGGCCCAGGTCGGCGAGTTCAAGGCCTGGGCCTCTGGCAGGGGACGCGGCGCGGCCTCCGCGCGCCCGAGGCGGCCGACTCTGCGATGTCGACCTAGTTCGAGCGGCTGCACGCGCAGAAGGAGCTGCCCCAGCTCGGCAGGTGGGCGGTGCACGGCTATGCGCTGCTGCACTTGACTCACCTGGGCCGCGGACGTCACGCGCTCCTTGGGGCGAAGGCCGCGCTGCGAGGTTGGTTGCGTCAGATGTCGGGCCGCATTAGGGATCCTTGGCCAATTGAGACGGCCTGGCTCATCGCGCGCTGGCTTCTTGTCAAGAACCAAGCCGTCTATTTCTGGTGTTCCCTGGCCGTGGCACTGCAGATGGGCGCCCGCGTCAGGCCGGGCGCCCTGCTTGACATCAGGCGCGAGGACCTGCTGTCGCCGCTGAGGCAGCGCGGCTCGCGGCACACGGACTGGGGCCTCGTCGCAGCCACGAGCACGCGGGCAGGGCACGCCACGTCAGGAGAGCAGGATGACACATAGCTCGCTGGGATCCTGGACCGCGCTTGCACGAAAGTGATTGCCGACGACTTGCGCGCTTCCTCTCGCGAGGGCGAGCGGGTCTTCAGGCATCTCACGCTTCCGACTTACGAGAAAGCGATCACGGAGGTTTGCGAAGCTCTAGAGCTGCAGAGCCTGCGCATCGCTCCTCGTTGTTTTCTGCACACTGGCCCCATCGACTGACGCTTACTCTAGGGCCTTGAGCCTGCAGCAGATCCAGGGTCGTGGGAGATGAAATGTGCTGCATATGTCCGCAGGTACGAGAAGCACACAACACTCCTTCGGCAAATTCACACTGACGGCACAGCAGAGGAGAACTGCGTTGGCCGCTGGTCGTGAGCTCCCAGACCCGCTCAAGATATCCTTTCGCTTGTAGTATTGATTTGTTTTGTTCGTCTCCGGCCACTGCCCCGCCACCACCTTTCGTGATACGGGATATGGGAAATTCAGTTTATGAGACAGTGCCGTTGCACGCAAAGCGCTTTTTCTTCTCGCAATGCCGCTGTGGATGGATATGTGCTTCATCCTGTCCGAAAAATGTCAGCCGCAGCTGGGTAGTGCAACGACCTACGCCCTTCCGCGCAGGATGTGTGAATGTCAGTTCTTGCGCGCTTTACACAGTGAGAGAGGCCTTCGCAGACGATGTCGCTGAAGGGGATCGTCAGTAGTCCTTTCTTTGCTCGCCTCCCGTGCCCCACCTGCCACCCTGTCGGGTCGAGGTTGTTCACTGACCCCTCGTTCTAGGGGGATTTCAACTGATGAGAGCGTGCTGTTGCGCGCAAGGCGCTTTTCCTTATCACAATACCGCTGTGGATGGATCTATGTTTCACCCTGTCTGAAAGATGTGAGCCTCAGCTGGATAGTGCAACGGCCTACGCCCGTCCGCCGTATTTGACGCCCACCATGCAGGATGTGTGAATTGTAATTGTCCTCCCATCTCTGTAACTTCAGCCTTGTCTCGACTGTCAGCAAAAGTTGTCCGGCAGTCCCACAGAAAAGCTTGAGAAGGCTATGTTTCGGCATGGGGTTCGCATAATGTGTTGGCGGCACTCGGTGGCGTTAGCCTCGCCAATGTTTTGAAACAAATGTTACCTGGCAGGCAATACGGATGACAACCGAGTCTTTTTCTCACCGTGCTGGACGCGTCGGAACCAGTACCGTTACGATGAGCAAGGCGTGGAGGACCCGAGGGAACATCGAGCCGCACGTTTTTGTCAGCATGTTGAGGCAGGATGGGAATCGTCACGCTTGGACGTCGTATTCGAAGAGTTTGGTATTCGATTGAGTTCTGTTTTGTGTGTCGACGGTTCGCTTTTACTTGCTGTGTATTCCAGATCTCGTTCAGGGTCTCTACCTTGACAGCCTTGATCCAGGGCCGTTTGACCTGGCAGTGGACGTCTTCTTCGCAGGAGTTTATTATGGATAAGACTGCGCATGCGGGCGAACAGTTCGAAATCGATATTGCTGGTGTGGACCGCAGGCATGTAATCCGGACTTCAACCGAAATGTTGGGTGCAGTTTTAGGCACGGTGGAGGCCAACAAAGAATTGATCCAACACAGACTCGCAAAAGAAGGAGCATGCTCGAATCGTTTAGCCCGAAACCTTTGCAGACAGCACCGCGTGGGCTTCAGGCTGGAGGCTGCTGCAGCTAGTCCGCAGGGAATTGGCACATCATTGCTGGCAGTGGCACACTGGGGGGGGTCCTTCTTGCACGAGGTGGCCCCATGTGAAACGAAGTTACTCGCCAAAATGCGTCAGGCTGACACCGACCTGAGCAGGATGATTTGCAACAGAAGAGGTCTACCAAACTATCCTGCTGAATGAAAACGTCCTGCTGCAAGCCAGCTTGCACCACGGCTGACGAGCAACATCGCAAGCATTTGCGGTACGAGAAATGCAATGCCGTAGAATGCGATTTGATTTGGACAGATCGCACAGACGTTCTTGGCAGAGCTTCGACGACACCTGACTTTCCCAGCGAAAGCGGGATTAGTGTTGCGTGCATTTGAAACCGGGTCCGCACGCCAGCATCGATAACACATGTTGCAAAGGTTAGGGCAGCCGTCGGTGTACCTATTTCGACAGTTACAGCAATGAACATCAATGGAAACGAGGGTGTCCTTCGTTCGTGCAGTCTCTGAAGTGGTGATGCCTGGTGAGCCTTTTTCCAAGGTGAAGCCGATGCCGATGCAGCGTTGGCGTGCGAGCTGACGTGAGCAACATACAACAGTGCGCTGGAGTAGCGCAGGTTGATGAACAACGATGCGAAGGGCTACCATCTCGCTCACAGATGATGCGGCGCAGTGACACTTGTCGCGCGCAATCAAACAGTCGTTTGCCTGAGTATAACGCCTCAGCGTCACATGCGTCGAATTGTTTCAGGACTGTTTCAAACACAATGCTGGATTTCTCGCCTCCAGTAACTGGCACCAACGTAAATTCAACAAAGGTCCACATACCGCTCGCAACATGGTATTGCAGAACACACATGATATCGTGAAGTCGGCGTCTGGAATACTGACACACAGAGTCCATGAGGGCAGTAGAGTGCGGATGTTCTCCGACGGCGGTCATGCGGCAAGAGCCCCCCATGCGCAATCAGAGCGTCTTCTCGCCAGGCACAAGGACGTGTGCGTGACAGGGGCCACGTCGCCATTTCAAGCCGAGATCGTGGAGGCAGATATGGCAGTGCAGTTCGCGAAGCAGATATAACACCTAAGTTCGCAGGCGCCTCCGCGAAGGCGCGCACACGCATGTGAACAATTTAGAGGATTCGACGAGGGAGTAATCCATAGAAAAGCAAATCCTTAGCAACTTCTGGAGCCTCCCGCCAAACCGCTTGAAACGCCAGTCCTTCTTTTCGCACACTACTCTTCCATCCTTTCCCTCCTCCTCCCCTCCTTCACCTTCCCTCCTCCTCACCCCTTCCCTCTCTCACCCGTCGTCGTCCGCGTCTTCGCCGTCGTCGCCAGCGTCGCCGTCGTCGTCGCCAAGTTCGTCGACAATGGTGACATCGTCATTGTCGTCGCCGTCGCTGGCAACATCCGCATCGTCGTTCAACGTCGTTGTCGCCGCCGTCGTCGCCACCGCTGGCGTCGTCGTCCACGCCGCGACAGTCGTTCACGTCGTCGTTGCCGCCTTCGTCGGCGTCGGCATCGGCCTCGTGCACGCCGGCAACTCCGCCAACGCCGTCAACTTCGTCGCCAGCGTCGTTATCGTCGGTGTCAGTGTCGGCGTCGTCGCCGGCACTGACTCCGCCTGCGTCGTCGTCGGCGTACGGCGCCGCCAGCGTTGTCGTCGTCGGAGTCGTCGCCGGCGCTGACGTCGGCGGCGGCGTCGCCGACGCACGTCGTCGGCCGCCGCCGCCGCGCGAACCCACACAGGCCAGCGCCGGGGCGGTGCCCGCGCCGCCGGGCCTCCCCGCGGCGCCCGCGGAGCCCGCGCCCCCAGAGGCCGCGGCGCCCTCGGAGCCCTCGGCGTCGTCGGCGTCGGCGCCATCGACGTCGTCGTCAACGTCAGCCTCGTCGTCTCCGGCGTCGGCGTCGGCGACAACGCCGTCGTCGTCGTCGGCGTCGGCGTCGTCAGTGGCGGGGGCGTCGGCGCGGCCACGGTGAGCGCCAACCCCGCCCTCGCGATAATCGTCGAGCCCGCGCCGCGGGAGGCCATGGCATCCTCGGAGCCCTCGGCTGTGTCGTCTCCGTCGTCGCCGCCGATGGCGTCGTCTGCGACGGCCCCCAGGGCCAGTGCCGCAAGTTCTTCACCGCCAGTGCTCTCTTTTCAACTTCCGCGTTTGAAGATCTGGTTCGGATCTAATGGCCTTGAAGATCTAATCCCAGCAAGGCACCCTCATGTGAGATGCTCCTGAGGGGCTCCTGCGAGGCTCAACCATCGGGCCAACCATCGTGACAACCATCGGGACACCCACGGGGCAACCATAGGACAACCGCGGGATAACTACGGGACAATGGCGGGACATCCGCGGGAGACATTGCCAGGCAGGAGAGGGAGCGCCCGCACAATGCCAGGGATTGTCTCGTATTAGCGCAGTTTCACTTCGCACTCACGACACGAAGCGACATGTCGATCTCACCATTCCCAGCATCCGATATATAGAAGAGAGTAAGCATATGGATGTACAGCTGGAAAGTCAATGCATGTTGAGTGTATGGTGCATTTCACATCACGTATATTATAGACATATAGACATACATATTAGATGCACACGTTGCAGCATCGTGGAGCGACAGGTCGCCATCCACATAGATAGAGAGATCCACGGGCAAGACGGCGGACACATAAACGCCACATCGCCATAGCACAAGTATATACTAGACAAAGGAGGAGGGGAGAAGGGGGGATTGGCTCATGAAGCGCAGGCCGATGTTGGAACAGACGTCGCGAATGCTGGAATGCAGCCTTGGAGGACGCAAGTCAGAGTGAGGGGGCCGAACGGGCCGTCTTGTTTGTTGTCGCCGTCCCACCCGCGACCCATCTGCGACCCACCCCGCGACCCACCCCGCGACCCACTCCGCGACCCACCCCGCGGCCCGCCCCGCGACCCACCCGCAACCCAACCCGCGACCCACCCAGCGACCCACCCCGCGACCCACCCGCTGCCCACCCCCCGCGACCCACCCGCGACCCACTTGCGACCGACCCGCGGCCCATCCCGCAAACCAACCGCGACCCAACAGCGACCCAGCCGCGACCCATTTGCGACCCACACGGGACCTAATTACATTGGTTTAACGAAGCAATCGGCGTTTGCGGCGGGCTTTTTGTCAAAGTGAGGGGGCCGAACGGTCATTCATTGTCTTTGGGTGCGTGGCTGAAGTGGGGATCCGTGGTGAGGATTCTGCGTGTTGTGTTGTTGCGTTGTCGTTGTTGCTTGTTTGTTGCCGTCATCCCACCCACCCCGCAACCCCCCGCGACCCACCCCGCGACCCACCAGCGACCCAACCCGCGACCCACCCGCGACCCACCCGCCCACCCGCGACCCACCCGCGACCCACCCCGCGACCCACCCGCTGCCCACCCCGCGACCCATCCGCGACCCACGTGCGACCCACCCGCGACCCGCCCCGCTACCTTTCCGCGACCCACCCGCGACCCACCCCGTGGCTTACCCGCGACCCATTTGCGATCGAGTCGTGATTCACCCGCGACAGAGCCACATTGGCTTAACGAACAAATCGGCGCTTGCGGCGGGCTCTTTGTATAATGTGTGAAAGTTTGGCGCTTGCGGCGGGCTTCTCCAGAGTCTCGCAGACCGCCGACGTCCCCACCGCCCCCTCATTATTATCCGCATCTGCGGGGTGCTACGTAGGATGCTAGAGTTGTCTGTGCGGGCCTCTTGTGTTGTTGATCTGTCGTCGCATCAGACCTCACGTTGGTTGGTCACAGCCCCAGTGCAGTGCTGGGAGTTTGGGGGCTGCCGCTCGAGCACACGCATTGATTTGGCCATGTTGCACATCTGGAAAGGCTCCTCATAGCGTTCGATGCAGAGGCAGTCTTCCAACAGAAGATCCTGAAGTGCTAACAGATGTACGGTTTTGCGAGTTGTTGGAATTGAAGAACAGATGGATGCCAACCAGATGCGAAGCCGATGGTCAATGACGGCATGGGGTAACACATCCCCCGAAGTTTCCGTATCATTTGAACATGTGGTTTATGGCGTGTACATATCGAAATGTACATATGTATATACACATAGAAGCATACCGATACACATAAGAACAACGTGACAGTATTCACGCCGTCACATCTTGCTCAGCCTCTGTCCTTTTCGTTTTCATCCATCTATACCTCCCACAGACAGCTCAGTGTCTCAGTCACCTCTGGCCTGAGTCGAGATGCGTATACAGGTCCATTGAGGAACAGAAA